CTGCTCTTCCCAGGCCCCAGCCCCTAAGGCTGCGCCTGCCCTCCCTCGACGTGAGCTCAGGACCCGTTCTCGGTATTTTCCGAACTGTACAGAGTGGGAGGGGTCCCCTTCTCTGCCCCGCGGTGTTTGGTAGCTTACCCCCGCTCTGACTTCCCTTTCTCTGCATATCGGTCCTCTTTACACGCTGTCTCATTATTTCAATCTCTGAACCATTTTACCAGGGCTTTCTATTTGTTTTCTTTAAAAATACATATACATCAGCTCTGGTTTGGCTGGAGATGTTTTCTGTAACGCTTTCAGTATTTTTCTTCCCAAGGGGAGCTCTGAAGAATACGTTCACCTATTTCACGTTTTCATGGTAACTTCTGAACTTTTTCTTTCTCCCTTTTTGCAAAATCTTTTAATGGTTTCTCTTCAGAGGTGCACACACGATTGGATTATGTTTGCCTCAAACTTTGGATTGGGTTTTTTCCGCTTGCAGCACGGGGCAAATTTTTGCAGCGTCTGTTAAAAGCGCTTCCCCGGCTTTGTGGTCTGCAACACTTTTTGTCCTCTGAGCGTGCTATCTGACCTAGCAAACGACAGGCTTCCTCTGTCCCTTTTATTTTAGGCTCATCAGATGACATTTATTCCATGAATTAAACAGTATTTCCAAATTGCAGCGTTCGGACCGATGGCATATGTTTGCTGCTAGGCCTTTCCACTTCCAAGTGCTAGATTTAAGAATATTTATTTATTTTTGGCTCAAAATTGCGAGCGGCTTGTGTTGTCTCATTTGCTGGGTGCAGCGAACAAGCTCTGCTTGCACTTAACCCCCCTAAGCAGATGCAGGCTCAGGCCAGACAAAATAAACCAACCTTATCTGGCAAAAAACTCACATGACTTGCGCCTTTTGCAACAGAGGCTCAATCCTGCAAAGCGTTAGGCAACTTAGCCCCCAGTTAGCAAAATTAGTAAGCATAGGTCCGCCTTGGAAACACGTGAGTCGCCCTAATGACTTTAGCAATATAGTCGTTGCTTTTTAAATGAGGTACATGCTGAACCAAGATTGTCTCTCTGTGTAAAGGCAGCAGTGAGCTCACGTGAGCAAACGCCTGCAAAAATCTCTGTAGAAGGAGGAACCCGAGTGGTTAGTTTGGAAACCAAAAGCGCTCCGATGTGGACTGGGGTCCCATCAGAGATATACAGTCAAGCTGTTTCCTTGAGGAAAAGGACTGGTTTGGTGATCTCACTTTTGTATTTTGTTGTTACGTTCGCTGCAAACACAAAATTGCTTTAATAGTTTGCATTTGGTTTAGCTTTTCCAAAGGTAAAATGTATACGGGAATGACATTTTGCACGTAATTAATACCAGGATTTAGCAGAATTGCTTCTGCTGTTGTTTGGCTGGAGATACCTTATTTAAATTTGGCTGAGTTTCTAAACATTTTGTACGTCCTTTTAAGATGTAGAAGCTCGCGCTGCTAGAGCCTTGCCCCTTGTTCAGACGGAGAGATGAATGTCTTTTCATTGTCTCGTAACTAAAGAAGAACAAAGATTTTCTCTGTCTTTTTAAAAAAAAAAGAATTACATTGCTAGAAGAAAAGATAAATTGTGGAAAAATGTCTCAAGATTACTATTTGGGGAAAACCGTGTGAAAACAGTATTTTACAATAGAAAGATCAATACTTTAAAAGGAACAATAGAAAATCAATTCCTCTTTCCCCGTATTTTTTTTTTAACCTGCATCATAACAACATAAGTGACCTTTAATGCACTTCAAGTGTATTACTGCTTCAGCTGTGTCCATCTGGAATACTTGGTATATAGCCACTTCCGTTATTCTGTTTATAACGTCCTCTTTCTGTTTAAATGGTTATTTCACATCCTATCCCCGGAGAGAAATTTTTCAGGGAAATGTGTTCATAAATAATGGCCGTTATCACAGATTGCTATAAAGCGTGGAAATGGTTTAATCTGGGTGATTTAAAATACGGAAGTCGAACGCTGAGGAATCTTTCCTAGCTCCAGGGATCGCAGAAGCACGGCGAGCGTTCAAGACGGCCAGCTCGCAGCCCGAGAGTCACTGGGCGGCTTAGGAAGCAGGTAACCGATGAAGTGTTTGGCTTTGAGGTGAAGCAGCGATTGCTAATCATACATTCAACCCTCAAGATTATAAAGCACCCCAAACTACGGTGCACTGGAAATACACAAGTGACTGGATGCTGCATGATGCTTGCTGGCTCGTGCAACGGAAAGGACCTGTTTCGCCTTTCCCACTATATGCCCTGCAGTATGGGGCGTTCTCATCTTGAAGTTGGTTACTTCTATAAATGCATTTATGTGTCTGTTGGAAAAAAAATTCCTTCCTCATCATGCGTTTATAGCTCTTGGAAGAGCAATTGGTGCAGCTCGGAATTTAAATCTTCATGTTATCAGATTCTTATTTCAAAATGTCTTTCCAGACAGAAATTGTCCTGATCTCAGAGACAAATAGACCTTCGGTATGTTGTGGGCTGACACTTCAAGGAGATGCCTGAGACCTGCATGACGTGCAAAATGGTTTTCTTCATATTTGCCCTAAAAGAAGTGGGAACGTAGAAAATGTTATAAGGAAAAAGTAAGAGACTGGTAGCCTTGTGCCACTGTTCTTTGGCAGTGGTTCTTTGCAATAAATTGTAAATGCAAGTTCAAGAAGCTGCGATCAGCTCCAGCTGGGTGCGCCCTAGCTGGACTAAAACAGAGCTTCTGGAAAGGGGTGAAAAGTCAGCAAGTTGCTGGCAAACTGCTCAAGCCAGGCAGCTGCTGGGAACGTGGGCCGGTCATCCTCAGTGAGCCTTGCCCCAGGCAAAATACGTGACAGAAGGCGTTTCTGGTGTGTACCAAGCGCCGTACAGCTTGGACCAACCCCTTGTCACAAGCGCTTTAGCTCACCGTTTTCCTCACATCACTGCAAGTTATGGCAGCCAGCGCGACAGCCTTGTGCTAACGTGAGAAGAGAGGCAGTTGAGCATGTAAGCAGAGAAAGCTCCTGAGCCAGATGGCTTCACTTTGCCTCCTGTCCAGACATGGTTCCTGTGCCACGGGAAGCCTGGCTGTAGCCACCCGGCCAGGAGCTGTCACTTGTCATTGCAGCTCCAGGCTCTCCCATTTACTGCTGGACACATGCAAAAAGTTCAGGCAATGCAGACCGCAGAGATTTTTGATCCTATTGCTCATGCAAATCAAACAGCAACTGTTCAGGCTCCCATAGCTGTTCTGGAAACATGTTGATAATATGCTTGTCCGACGCAAGTTTCTCCCTGCATGTCCCTTTCCCACCCACCCAAATCTATCGTGCAACCTACCTCTGCATTATATTGCACCTCATATTGCCTGTCTTCAGAGAACCCACACTGGTGCTTGCTTGTTCTGTTCTGGTTCAGCCTTTTTCAGGGACCTCTGGCAACAGTTGCACCTGCTCAGGACATACCTGCAAAGTATTTGCATGTGTCCATCACAGCAGAAATTGATGCTTTGAAATAAATATCTAAGACAGAAAACAGAACTCCAGCCCTTTTATCACCAAGAGAAGAAAATTGGGTTCATATTTTAGTACAATGCAAGCTGGGGGGGAAAAAAAAATCAGATTATTTGGTTTCTCAGCTGTCTTGTATATAGTTTTTATCTCAGTAGAAACTCAGAACAATGCAACTGAGTACAAGTTATAAATACCATATATGTTAAAGTAGTGAGCATACCTTTAAGATTCACAGCTCCTTCAAGTAGCGTTAGGAGCAGATGGCATACTACCATCCCGGCCTTGTGGGGAACACTAAAATGGGTGTCTTGCACAGGTGTCTGTAGTCCCAGCACTGCTGCATGTGCTTCTCATCTAAGTTTGGACTATGCGATAGCATTATTTAAGTGTTGTCAATCAGCAATCACAGCTATCTTTTCAAAAACCCCAAATCATTCTAGATACAGATCTGATGAAGACAGACAGAAGATGATCCTGGGCTTCCATTTGTGTTTTTAACATGTCACAGATCTTATTAGTTCAAGAAGCAAGTAGGCTTTATCCATACGGGTAAAATCCTCAGACCGCATTGATGTAACTGATTCCCTCTGCAGGTCTCCTTCCCTCTTCCACACTGTCTGGTAGAGACAAACAAGTGTCTCCCTGGCCATCTCAGCCAAGTAATATCATTTTTATTCTTGCCAGGGTGTGGAATCACTTGCCCGAGGCAATCCCAGCTCGCAAACAGAACAAGAGTATGACTTAAAACAGGCTGGGCAGAGAGACCCCATGCTTTCTCAGGGCTTTGGACTCTTTCTATTAAGACACTTCAGTGCAGTAGGTATACTTACACCTAAAATAATCCTTTCTAGCACAAGGATTGGAAGGGATCTGTTGATTCCACTTCCAGGCTATTTTCATATCACCTCTTTCATAAACTTATCAAGCTCCAGGCATTTTGACCAGACGTTCCAGGATTGTAAGGGGCCCCGAGATCTTTAGATATACTTTATAATATCCACAGGTCCCTGGCTATTAATTATACTAGACTAATGGAGTAGCCATGCATTAATATAGTTTTTTTTTTTTTTAAAGTATAGGAAAGATTTCAAACATTAGAGGTAAAACATACAAATGATTTTGAAAAAGGCTCTGTACCTCTTTGAGCACTCTTAACGTAACATAGAGCACTCATAACGTAACTCTAAAACTACACTGAATGGCAAGATGGTTGTTAAAAGGTGAACCAGCGCTAACAAGCATTAGAGCACTAGTCCTCGAAGACAAATGGACATGTGGTGGAACCAGCCAAATGTCCAGAAGCCATAGGTGTAAGTAGGAAAGTGAAAATAGACTGCTGCAGCCAAACTCGATCTGAAAGCTCTATTCTAGAATAACTCACTCAAGCTGGCTTTAACTGGACAGAGATGGCAGTTCCAGAGGGAACTGCCATCATTTATGAAAATGCAGATAGTGCTTCACGCCTAGAATGGATTGGTGTTATTTGCACTTTAACTTAGCAGATGAAGATTGGCTAATTGAAAGATCAGTTATCTCAGTCTGAAGATAATTAACATTCCTTAGGGGTATGTCTGTGGGGGAAACAGAGTCCATCATCTTTTGCTCTATTTGTATTTTATAAACTTAAACTTTCTATACTTTCTAGTTTGTTACTATGACTCTTACTCTAATATTTGTGCGAGTATGTAATATTAACTTGTCTTACCTCTGAGTAGTTTTGACAAGTTGAAAGAATGCATAATCCTTTTTGGGTTAAAGTTGTGGTATTTAGGAATCAAAGCTGAAATGCATCATCTTTTCTGTTCTTCTCCCCCCTCCATCTGTAATGGATCCCACCAATACGCACAAAATAGCTCAGATGCCCAGTCACCCCAAGCTGTCCTTTATTGTCATTTATTTTAAGCAGTCAAACTAGAGTCAAATAACTTCAAATGTTAAGATAATACTTGTATTGTGAAACATGATCACTCCAGATTAGGACTGAAGAATTTTGACAGAAAAACAGTCCCCCTTGGAGTGCGTTTTAGTTAAACGGAAAACTTAACTTCAAGGTTGCTAATCTATTACTGGCTGTAAGCAGCACACTGATACAATGGTATTTGTTAAATCTGCGCTAGGAGTGTTGCATGTTCACATGTCTTCAGTAAGTGCAAACAAAGCCCACAAAAAAAAAAAAACCCCAAGGAAAAACATCCCTTTTATAGCTTATCTCTAATTGCACTGGGCACCATTCAAGTAATTTCTCTGTGCAAGAGCAAATGGTAGAAGAGTGATAGACAGAACACTTTCTTATCACATGCAAGGTAACGTTATTGGCATATCCAAAGTCCAGATTGCAGTCTGCACACTTTGCAAACTCAGCAAACTCGACCTGAGTGCATATATGCCAGCTGGCCTCTGACTGCCTGCATGTTAGGCTTGCTGCGGAGTGCATCTTTTTCCCTTCACAAACACTGCAAGAATCAGGGTGCTGCTCTCCTTTCTTTGATCTAATACAGAGGAAATAGCAACTCCCTGAATGGATGTCAGAACAATCCCCTGCATTTTTGCAGGGCTGCCTCAGCCATCAAAAGCATCTATTCCTCTATATATCAACAGTACCTCATTACAGATAGAGCCATTTTTCTCAAGTTGTCTTTTGGTTTGAGACTGTTCTGCTCAACCCTCAAAACCTGCTTCTGTCTCAAGCCTCAAAACAGGCTGTATACCTTCATGGTTATCTATTTTGACCATGCTCTTAGTTTATTAAAAGTAATTACCTCTACCTGCAAATTTGTTTGCGAGTGTCCTTAAACTATCCTTGCTCCAACATCACTACTACGAGAGTGTTATTTATGCAGCCCAGGAGTCCCATGCTTCATACCAGCAAACATTGTGTGTGCTACGCAGTTAAGTCAGCAGCATTTTGAGAACAAACAACCCCTGCCTTTATGAGACGTTCTCCCTGCTGCTAACCAACCAGTCCACTGACTCAGTTCACAGCCTTTTTCAGTGTTCTCCTTCCAGTAGTATCCATGAGCATCACAGCATTTCTGAAGCGAGAAAGAGCGTACAAGAGGCCAGTTTACCAACAGCATCCAGTAAGTGCTTCATTCAGTAATGATTTCCAAGCACAGCAGCAGTCAATAGCTGTACAGCCGTTTTTTGTGTTTCATCATCCACACTGTGCAGACATCAGTACCTTTGTTTCTACCTTAACACCGCCTGTGAAGTCCCCTACTGCATAGCTTTTATTTCAATTCAAACTTGAATTTGTCAATGTGCTTCTGAGATATGCCACTGATAGCCAAAGGGCAGCTTTGCTGCCAAAGGGCAGATTCAGTAGTAAGACCAGTGGCGTGACTTTCCTTAAGATGCAGCTGTAAGCACGAATATGTTACTATGGTAAAAATAAAGCACTCAAACACAGATGTTCAAGGTAGAGTTGTTTGTCACTTATAAAGGCTGGTATAGAACATTATTTGTAAATACAAGATGATGTTTAAAAGCCTGGCCGAGACCAAGTCCTCTCTGGGATAAGTACCCTATATATAGTATCTGTTTCCTAATACCAGATAGGTATGAGAAAGGAGAACAGCACTGTTGTAATTACATAGTCTCATAGGGAACCTAAAGCAGAATTAGGAATAGGATATAGTTCTTCCTACTGCCAGCCCAATGTTTAGACAGAATCCGATTCTGTTGTTTTAGCCGTGAGAAAGCTAAGTATCTCTTTTGACAGAAAGCATGTTAGCAAAACACTGCATGCTCACAGTAGGTAAGCTTCTAGCAAAAAGAGCTGAAGTGGAAGCATTGGCTAGTATGAGTTACATTCTGCTACAAGTCAGTCAAATCCCCTAAGGGCAACTGGCTTCCTAAAATACAGCTGTGAAGATAGAACTAACTGTAGAATTTAGGGCTGACAAGGAGCTAAAACTATCTTGCCTTATGCTTAACAATTGCTCCTACCTCTGTTTGGCAGGGTGAACATATTTAACGCTTTGTATCAAGCAACTGACCGAGGATGTGAGAAGGGAAAAAACGTATGTTTATATTACTTACATAACAGAACAAGGGAGAACAGGTACAAGCAACCTATTTCCCTTGTGAGGGCAAGGAACAAACCCTTCTTTGTTCAACCTTCCATTAAAACGTGTTGGAGCAATTGGCTCCAAGAGCTTTCTCGGTTAAACGTAGCAGAGCTGGAAGGCTGTAGTTTTGGAAAGGATGAGAGGTAAAGTCATCTCCATCGCTTACCAGTGGTGCAAGAGAATACAAGTTAGAGCTACACACTGTACTGTGTGTATAACATAGTACAGAACTGTGCATTTAGCTAGCTAGATAATAACGATAGCTTTCACCCCCATGCATTTAAAGAAATTAAGTGCTTACCTGAAGGCAGCTGGATCTTAATTCCTCATCTGTTGAGATGCCTAACCATATAGTGGGAGTTGGAATGCCTTATTCTCATACACGTTTGTGACTCTGTTCTCATATGCCCTAGAGTGGAATATTTCAGAGTTTTACATTTTGAAAGTAAAGACACTCTCCTTCCAGCATCAGCAACTCTAATACAGCAGATTTGGCAGTCAGGAATAGCTAAAGGCCTAACAGAGACGAGTTTTCTACGAAAGCTGGCAGTTTTAACTTTTGCTGATTACCATTGTAAACTTTCCATTTAAACAGCTTTGTAAGTGCTAAATCAGGTTATAGTTGGTTCAGCTGTCAGTGTAGGCTCACTATATGGTAGCTCAAGTACCATACTCAAGTACTCAACTGCATGTACTCTACAGTTACAGGCAGTACAGCATCAGGGGCACGAACAGCTCAGTTTGCCACAGACTCTTTTCTTCCACAGGGAAGGTTTCATGTTCAGATGCTGACTAACTGCCTCATCTCCAGAACCCCAACGTTATTGCTGAAGGATCACCGTCTCCAAGGTGTGCTCTATAGAATGCGACCTGGTGATTGTTCAATGAGTCTCTGAAAGCCCCAGGCAACAAATATCCAACATCTTGTTCTTAGCATACAATGGCATTAGATCTAGCCCCTTCACAATAACCTTTGAGCTCTGGCTTTTTTGCCATTTATCTCCATGACAAGGAGGCAAAGCAGTTACCAGCCTTCACGGGTTTGGTTTGAACAGGAGTCCATATTGCACGAAATGCAGGCTACTGAGGCCTCCTAGTGGCAGGACGACTAGGGACGTTAGTGCTAACCCTTGCTTTCAGCTGTGTAAGGAAGCATACACAGCAATTAAAGGGATGCGCCTCCTTGTTCGAAGTGGGGATGAACTCAGAATAATTTCTGAGGGATGACCATCACAACAGTTAAAGTACCAAATGCACTTTAATGAGTTCCAGATTATTTTGTTCACAGGAGGAAATTATAACATGTCAGTACATTAGGCAGGATGCACTTTCTGCTGAACTATAGGCATTATGAAAACAGACTATAGTACACTAGGTATTTAAAGTTATGCTCAGTAATCAGTTTTCCACAGTATTAGAGATAAGGCTTGTTTCAAATATGCGAATGGTTGCTATATCCAGTCCTTAGATGCCATATTTGCCCTTCAGTTCTTCCACTTTTGCTACATAAGCTTTCATTGCATCTTCTTTGGACATTCCTGAAAGACATAACACAGGAGGTAGTCAGAGCAGATATAGCAGCCCACCCCTCTCTACAAGCTTCCCTGAAGCAGCTCTTCCCCGAGCACACTCTTTACTCTTCCAGGGGCACACAGATCCTGAGACAATGAAGCCTTGCAACAACATGGTGTCACAGGCTCACCTGTTCCATACAAGCTTAGTTCACAACGGCTGTATTTTCTGCTGGTTCACTCCCAGTGCAAAGAGCACTTCTAGGCTAACAAAGGTCCCAAATCAATGCCACCAGAAACGCAACAGCACAAGATAATGGTGAAGACTGTTTATTTAGGTTGAGCAAATCCAGGTGATGCATGCGTTCACTTACAAACCATGCAGATTTACACATGGCCCAATCATCTATGGGTATACGCAAGGAACTGTTTGCTTGCATAAACATACAACTTTGCTGCCACCGTACGCCCAGTTGCGCTGGCTCCTCAGAGACCTCTTTTTGAGCATTTTTCAGTCATGACCCTACTTTTATATCCAGGCTGGATACTGCCTATTTACATAGGCATGCTCAAGTTACTATTAAAGAAACAACTTTCCGCGACATTACTTTCTGTAGTGTCCCTATTTTGCCTTTCTCTCAACTACAGAATCATTACCAAATTCTTGTTTTCCACCAAAATAATCCCTGCTGAGGCCGGAGAGCAGAAAGCTCGCTGGTAGAACAATACAGCAGCTACCAGACAGCTGGTAGGCAATGCAATAACTTCCTGCTTAAGTAGACATATTTTTCAGCATGTCATTCTGCATCCATTCAGCTACTTCCCACTTCCCTGAGCCTTTGTTAGAGTATCTTTCTCAAGTGTAGGATCATTCCAGTCTGTAAGTACTTTGACATTAAGATGCCTTTTTCATGCAAGTTACAATTCCTTGCTATAGCACTTAGCAGCAAGTAAACGGAGAACAAAGAAGCTAAGAGGGTTACTTAGCTGCGAATCTAGTATTAAAGTTTTAAACAAATGTGATCAGCAGCCATGAGAAAAACATACTCCAAATCAAGGTTACATCTGTACAGACAGCAACAGAACAGTCTATTAGTTGTATTTACTCCATTCACAATTACTACACAAAAGCTACATGAGTAGCTCAGACTGCATTTTGGCATAGTTCTAATTCCTGCCTTACAAGGTAATGGTATTTTGCAAGGCAATATATTTCATGCTAAACTACACAGTATTCCCCCTTCCTTTTTTTTTTTTTTTTAAAAAAAACAAAAGCAGGCACTTACCTTTCAATGCACTCCAGGCATCCCACTTGGCTTTGCCTTTGAAGTCAAGCATACCAGGGCGCTCTGTGTGAGTGAGAGAGGGAGGGAGGGAGGGAGAGAGGATTAACAGCAGAATTAGTTTGTAGGGCCTGGCTGTAGATTAAACCTAGCCCCTTCCTGAAAGCTGTTCAGCTCTTAACCACTACCGACTCTAATGACTCACCCGTGCAGGCATCACTTATTAACCTGCAGAGAGGAAAGCACTTCCGATGCTGAAGAGAGCATGCTGTAATGCTGTTGGTGGTGACAGAGAGGTTATTCTCTGCCAAGTTCCCATAACACAGCAGCATTTGAACAGAAGAGCACTACACAGTCTGATTTAGTTCATCACTGTACTTTCTGAAAAGACTTCAGCTGCGTGAACACTACCCGATTAGAGAACATCAGGTCTGAAGTAAAACAGAAATTCCACTTCCACCCCTCCCTGGTCCATTACATACTGAGAAATGAAATCAAAAGCTAGTAGCATACAGCTTAGAACTCACTGTCTTCAAAAGTGAACAGTATTTTTAAACATTTTTCACCTGTTTTTTCATCCTAGCAGTATAAGCACTGAATTGTAACTTACTTCATTATAGGCTAGGGATGGTTGCAGCCAAAAAGAGAAGAAAGGGCTTAGATACAGATGTGCCCGCAATTATTCTTCATGTGGATTCACCTCTGTTTTTACCTCTTTGCTATCTCATTAAATGCAGTCCTTAGGATTACCAATTAAATGCAACTGGACAGTAGCCTGTACATTAGCCAGAGCAATACCCTTGCACTCGCATGGCAGTGTGACCTACAAAGCTAGTTGGCAGCTCCATCGCTCCAACAAGAAACACCCTAGCTTACTATTACACAGATTGCTTTTCTAGCCAACTCCTGTTAGCTACGGCTTCACAAGAATGCGGTGGCTTATACAAACGTTGTTATACTAACAGCTCTACAACATTATTTCACCCTGGCAAGCATTTATAATGATACTCTTCAACCACGCTAAAAGTGCCAAATCTTAAAACCAAGCTCAGTTCTTTTGTCCCCAGTGCCACCCATCTTAGAAAGAGAGAATGCATGTGCCTGTATTTATACTTCCAGCATAGGTCACTACCAGCTTTGTCTTCAACCTCCACCCAATAAACTTAACCGTTAATTGGGTCAGGAGGCCAGCACTCCAAGTGAACGGTCTTTGGTCTTTCTAAGTCTAGATACTCAAGTGCTCCACAAGGTCAAGAGAGACTAGCTTCATTCTAAGCGTTATTCATAGTCTGAGCTGCTGGTGACAGAAGCATAGCAGTAGGAGTAGCAGAATTTGGCACAGAGCCTCATCTACAGAGATATTTCTCCTACAAGCCTTCCAAGACATAGTAATTAATCATAGGTCCTCTAAAACTTTTTTTCCTGTTTTACATACATCTGTGTTGTTTTCTTCTCCTTTGCACTCCTAATTCTATTTTTAACAGTAGATCTACTTACTCTCCCCCACCAAGTATTGGGGCTATACATTTGTTTAGTTTCCCTTGCTGTTTAAGGCTGTTAAACCAAGAAGTGTTTGTATTGCAGCAACAAACCTTGACCCAGGCAGCTACTTACTGCTGGAGGGCTCCAAAAATCTGAAAAACAACGCTCACACAAAGGATTCTTAGACCATCTCCGAACGATTTAGGGAACTGCAAGCAAGTTAATCCAAAAAGCCACAAGTTGCAACAACTCTTATCTCCGGCGGTCAGGTTACCCTGTGCCTGCACACTCATCACCCTATGCCAAGCTGATACCGAGCCACTTCTGCAAACCACGGCCCTGCAAAGAGTGAGACGCGCAGCGGGCGAGACGCTTGGTCTCACAGAGGGACCCTGGGCCGGACCGTTAGGCGTAAGGGCGCTTTCCAGACCGGCCACCCCGCGGTACTCACCCGTGTTCACGTCGCCCACCGTGGCCTGCTTGTAGTGGCTGTAGACGTCCAGCATCTCCTGGTCCGTCGGTTGCGACTTGAGCTGCTTCACCTCCTCCGCCGCCTTCTCGAACGCGGCCTGCGCAGGGCAGCGCCGCC